CTTCATTGTCTGCATGTCCGCTCGAGCGGGGGAAGCCACGCTTGAGCGTGGACCTTATTTTCAGCAAGTTTTAAGAAATATTTTCCAATGCATTCTTGTATCCTCATTCCATCCTAGGCATTCATAGGCCATGTTTGAGACTCCATAATGAGGATTAAGGGTTAGAAACACACTAAGAGCAAACGACATAAGTTATATACAATTCGAACGTGTGTTTCAAGTATGTATCTGTTATGTGTCATGTAGGTGACGTGTCGCGTACTGTTTGACCAATCTGCTCCGTCTATCTGTCTCAAGGCCAATTTTGAGTAATAACTTAGTAAAGTTATGTTCAGCCTTATTTATTTTCTGTGTGATAAATTAATATCTGTTTTCTGAAATGATATGTTCTGTACAATGAATGATTGTCTAATTTCTGATATATATTCGTGACATCCTTAGCATCATGTGATATCTGCTGGCTGTTACCCGGTATCGGAGGTTCCTTTATGGAACTTAATCTTTCTGCACTCTGTTACCCGTACCGGAGGCTCCGTCATGGGGGCTCAGTGTATTTATTCTCTATTACCCAGATCCGGAGGTTCCTTTATGGAACTGGTTATTCGTAACGATTACGTGTCTGCATCTGTTCTGTATTATCTCTGTTAATGCTAATGGATGTATCACGTATACTTAAGCATACCTCATGATTTCTGTATATGATCTGGACAAATTATGAATTTGATATGAAACTGAATGATGATTTCTGAATCTATACGGACTCATTCATTGAAACCACTTTACTCTGTTATTATTCACTGTGCTTTCGCTCACAGTTTATATTATGTATGTAGGTGAGCCGGTGCGTGATCAGGGCCAGAGTTGACGGCCTTCATTTCTGTTTTTGTCAGCCAACCGTTGTGCCTCCTGAGGAGGTTCCGATCGGAGTCTAGTTACATAGTTATTTTTGTACTTATGCTAGTCTCTGTCTGTTTTGTAAAGTCAGGTCCTGGAAATTACACTTTGGTAAATGTTTCGTAAATATTGATGTCCTACGACTGAGACGCTTATGTATATTCAAGTTTTTGAAATCTTCTGTCCCATGTATGTTATCACAGCTCATTGGACCTTGTCTATTCTGTATAATTGCTTCCACAGCCCCTTATTATATGTTTATCTGTTCAGAGGCCTTTGGTAATCCACAGATTACTAGCCGGTTACGATGCTAAACTTACAGGGGCGGGTTTGGGTTGTGACAAGCATCTACAACCAAAGGATCTCAAGAAAGTGTAATCAGGTTTTTGTTTGAACAAGACTTCATAAGGAGTGAGATTTTGAAGTTTGAGTGTGGGATGTCTGTTAACAAGAAAGACAGCAGTGGCAAGTGCATCAAACCAGTAAGCCAAAGGAAGAGAAGATTGATGCATAAGAGTCACAGTAGTCTCTATGAGATGCTTGTGTTTTCTTTCAGCAACACCATTTTGAGATGGTGTATGAGGACAAGTAAGTTGGTGCTTAATCCCTTTTTGTTTTAGGAAAAGTTGAAATGGCTTACTCAAATACTCTCCCCCATTGCCACTCCTTAAAACTTGAAGGTGAGTATGAAACTGAGTTTCAATAAAACTTTTAAATTCAAGAAATTTGTCAAACACTTCACTTTTGTAATGAAGAGGAAAAATCCAAGTAAATTTGCTAAAATCATCAATGAACAACAAATAGTATTTAAAACTAGAAATAGAAGTAGAAAATGGGCCCCAAACATCTGTGTGGATAAGGGCCAAAGGTTTATTAATAGTGGAATTGGACAAAGTAAAATGCAATCTATGACTTTACTAACACAACAGTGTTCACATAGACTGATGTTCTTGTTAGACAAAGCTGAAGACTTAGAACCTAAGTGGTAATGAGCCATGATGTGATGAAGCTTCTTGGAAGATGAATGACCAAGTCGAGAATGCCAATCAGGTGAAGAGGAGGCAGCTAAAGTAGTAGAACATGAAAGACAGACTGATGAAGGAACAGAGGAACCAGCAGAGGATGAAGAGATGAGTGGATAAAGGCCATTGAAGTAACAACCTTTATACAAAATATTCTGAGTATTCTTGTCCTGAACAAGAAAGAAATCTTTATCAAAAGTAATAGTACAATCATTATCCTTGGCTAACTGATGTACTAAGAGTAAATTTGAAGAAAGAGTAGGCACATGCAGTAGTTTGGTAAGATGAAAAGGAAAAGAAGGAGTAGGAAGGAGTCCTTTACCGGTATGAGCAATGGGAAGAGTAGAACCATCACCAATAGCCACTTGATCATGACCTTGATACGGGTGATAAAGAGAGAGATTACGTAAATCATTTGTCATGTGGTTAGTGGCTCCAGAGTCAAGAAACCAGTTGGTTTCAGATGAAGAGGGTGAAGAGATTGAGGGTGCATAAGCAGAGGCTACATAAGCTTGGCTTTGACCTGGAGAGGAATTGAAGGATGAAGAGGAAGCCTGAGAGCTCTGAAAAGCAACATCCAACCTGTGCCAACAGTCTAGAGCAATGTGGTTTGCCTTTCCACAGATTTGACAGATTAAAGAAGCATTGACTGTGTTGTTTGCAAAGCTAGAGCTAGGTCTTGTGTTGTGTGCAGAGCTATATTTGCTTTTCTGAAATTGATTTGATCCTCCTCTCTGATAGTGACTAGACAGTTGACTTCGAAACCTACCTTCATCCCTTCCTCTGAAAGTGTCTCTGCCCTATAATCGCTTTTCTGACTACCTTTATTAGAATAATGTCCTCGAGGAGCAATATAGGCAGCAGATCCTGGTATTTATGAAGCTTGTTGATGCTTAAGAGTAGATTCTATATGAATAGATTCAGAACACAGAAGAGAGCAGAGTTGATCCACAGCAATAGGATCTGATCTAGCTCTTATAGTAGTTTTGAAAGTATTATATTCCTCAGGTAATCCATTCAGAATTAAAAGGACTAAATCCTCATCATCAAAAGATGAAGAAGCCAAAGCAAGCTGATCTACAAGGACTTTGAATTTGTTCAGATATTCTTCCATAGTTGATCATTTCTTAACAATGTGACTCAATTTGTTCTTCAATTGATGGATGTGAGATCGAGAAAGAGAAGTAAACCTTTTGGCAAGAGTATGCCAAACATCATGACTAGTTTGACAGTGAATCACAGATGTGAAGAGTGAAGGTGATAGAGTTGCTGTTATGCAGCTCAAGAGATGTGCATCAATTGTAGTCCACGGAGTATGCTTTGGATTCAGAATTTCGAGATTTTTTGAATCTAAGATAACTGGTGAAGGACATACCTCAGATCCATCCACATAGCCAAGAAGCTTGGTTGCTCTTAAGATGTTGTAAAATTGATTCTTCCAAACTATGTAATTGGATGAATCAAGCTTGATAGTAACAAATGCATTATGATTTGAGATCAACAATGTGAGGTTTGAAGGAATTGCAGAAGATGACTCTGGTACACCTATGGTGATGGAAGAAGCCATTGATGAGCTTCTTGAAGAGCAGTGCTCGTAAGAGCCTAGGGCTCTGATACCATAAAGAGAAGTTGAGTTCTTGATATTATTCTTATTAACAAATCAGATACAGAGAAGATCTATTTATATACAACAATAGGTAATGGGTAACCTGACCATAACTGCCTAACCAACACTTAACTACTTGTGGTTAATTCCTAACAAACTAACTACCTCTACCTTATTTACACATGTGCTAGAATGCGTTGGTACACTGCAGCATGTGGAGCTTGCTGCACGACTGGAGATGTCTTGGCTGAAGCCTTGGCTTGAGTGGACTGAGTGGCTGGTGGCTTATTTGGTGGCTTATTAGGTTGCTTATCACAAAGCCGCCCCTTGACACACCACTTAAGCCACCCCCTGGTGCACCCTTTCATAGGCCGCGCCCATGGCGCACTCTTTCATATATCACTGTTCAGTACCACGTCATAAGTTATGTGTATGTCACGTCTACTGGTTCAACATCCATTCCTGTTCAAGTACCTCTCAAGGCCCATCACATCAATGCCTCCGAAGGCCCCTAGCAGGCCCTTATAATTTACCCTACCAGCAAGCTCTTCTTCATTGCCCATAGTAGGCCTTTTCGTTTGCCCCTAACAACATGCTCTTTCGTTTGCCCTCGTAGGAAACTCTCATTTATTTTTGTTTTGTTCTTCCAAACTCAAGTTAGTTTACCTACTTGAGTTTGGGGGGCTGTTAAAGAATATCTATAATATATTACTTTTCATATTTGTTAGGTTTTCATATTTCTATATGTTTCCTTATTCTCATAGTTTCTTGATTAACATTCTATATAAGTCTTATGTATAAGTCACCTCGTGTAATAGTTCAATATAACAATATAATATACAACATTATTCAATATACATATATTCTCTTTTCTCTATCTCTCTCTATACAATTATCTTAACAATTTTAATGCAATAAAGTTACGTAGTGTTTTAGAGGGATCTTGCACTAAGAAATAGACCCTAGAAGTTAAAAAAGAGTAGCCTGAGCAAATCAATAATTGGGGTTCATTGATATTCCTAACTTCAAATCTTCTTATTTTTTCCATAGTGCCAGTTAAAAATAAAAAATAAGAAATTGACAATATACTTTTAGAAAAATGTTTAAAAGTGCAGTTAGGCCCCCAAATAATTAATTGGAACAAACTGACTCTTAAAAAATGTTCAAAATTGTTCAATTAGAGCAAATTGCCTGGAAATTTAATTTAACTATAGTGTTGTTCTCTTGAGCTAATTAATATTTTATGAGACAAAAATGTACTTTTAAACATGTTTAAAAAAAATGGTTTTGAACATTTTTTGCCAAAGCAATTTGGTGAAATTTTTTTCTTGGAGGAGGTAATTTCATTTTCAAACATCTTTTAGGGAGTAATTTGTTCTTTTTATTTTTTAAGAGGGCAATTATAATATTAACAAATTATCAAAAAATTAAAAAATAAATGAGGAGAAAAGACAATAAATAGCTTTATTTATGCAAACCTCCCATCATCGATTTCAAAGCATTCAAAACGGCGGGAACTCCGCAAAACGCCTCCCACACAGCCTTATTACTGACCGTTTCTTTGATCATTTCCTACATGCAAAGAAAAATAATAACAATAATAAATAATAATAATAATAATGTGTAAACTTTAGGTGATCCTTGATTACGTGACCGACACAAAATTTTAACATAATGGAGGTAAATATAAATTTTAATAAAATTTTTGAAAAAGAAGTGTATAATTTTTTATATTTTTATTTTAATATTATATTTAACTAGTATTCTTGTAATTTATGATAAATATTTTAGAATTATTTCTTAATTTGGATTTATTTTGTTTTCCTATTTTAAAGTTTTTTTCTTGTCAAGAATTGGGCTACAAAGAATGCTAAGGAATTGGTGTACTCAGTGGCAATGCCTCCACAGTTTGTTGTTTCTGCAAGAATGCTGAGGAAACAGTGATCCATGTGTTCTTGCATTGCCCCTTTGTTTGGGAAGTGTGGTCAGCTTTAATAAAATGGTGATTATTGTACAGGTGGAAGGGAGAGCACTTTAAGAAATAAGAGAAGAAGAAGATGTGGAGAATTATCCCTCTTGCAGCACTGTGGTCCATTTGGAGACTCAAAAATGAATGTGTGTTTAAGGATGCCAAACCTGTTATTTGGGATTTGTGAGTTGCAATTTGGATCTACCTCGGTTAATGACTTTATCTTCAACATCAACCAAATCAGAACATGCATTGGAGGAGGTTGACGGATTCTGTTCTGCCCACTGGTTTGGTGGGTGTGGTTTTACATTTTAGATTGATGGAATTTGTCTTGGGCAATACCCGGCACAAGAATTATTCATTTGGTTTGAATTTTTTATAATTATTATTTTTTATTTTTAGTGAATATTTTTAAAATTTTAAGTAATTTTTTTACTTTTTTAGATACACTTTAGTTAGATGTATCTTAATAGTAAAATATTTGTGAAAAAATATTTTAAAAAATTGATAAATACACAAAAATATTTAAAATGTATTGAATTTTTCGTTTTTTTTTTTTTTTTTGGTTTTTAAATTTTTCGTTTTTTTTTTTTGGTATTTAATGAATTTTTTAAAGATTTTTTTTACAAATATTATACTTTTTAAGTGTATTTATGTTAGGTTTGTCTAAAAATTAAAAAATTACTTAAAATATTAATAAAAAATTAGTAAAAATTAAAAAATATGAAAAATTAAAAATTAAAATTTTCTCAAAATAAAAACCAAACAGAGTGATTGGTATTATAGTATTCAATTTTCAACAGTACGGGCACTTTGGTTGGTTGGTTGCCATTTGGTTTCTTTTGGTTGTTTTCTTCCTTTATTTATTTATTTATTTTGATTGGTTTCTCATCAACTTTGTGTTTTTCTTGCCTTCCTCGTTATTGATATATATCCATATGTAATATATGTTTATTATCATCAATAAAATTTTCTTTTCTATGCCGATCAAAAAAAAAAAAAAAAGCATTGGGCTAAATAATTATTTCCTAATTTTAGATTTTTAGGTGTTGAACATTGTTTGGTCTCCAAGTATTAATTTATTATAAGTAGCTATCTAAATCTTAAGGCAAAAATCAACTTTTATTTAATAATATTCAAAGATTTAACTTTTCTTATGAGTTCAATGTTATATTTTTCTCGTAAATTCGAAAGCCATATTCGTCTATTAGAACGACATCTAATCCTTGTGTATTTCGCTTCATCAAATGATATTAGAACATTGATTGGCCTGGCTCATTGGCATTTATCTAAGTAGGAAGCACAAACCTTATTCACGATGATCATATGGTAGAAACCATATGCGAAGCGATTGAGGAACATCGGTTAGAGGTGCATAAATTTCGCAATGAGATTTGAAATCTACTTGCTGAGTTGAGTTTTTAGTTAAAAAGTTCAAAAGTCACTACAAGTTATCACATCATTCTCTATTATTTTATATATTTTTTTCATAAAAAGTTAAAAAAATCAATTACACTAATGAATCCCAAACAAAGCCTTAAATGAAAAACAAAGTGATTAATAAAACAAATTGTTATACATAAAAGTAATATTTTTTTTTGAAAAAAATATAAAATGACTATATCACAAGATACTAAGGAAAATTCAATTTTGTAGAGGGCCAAGGTTTATATGTATTTCGAAAAAAAATTCCTCACTGTCTTTAAATAATGTGAGACTTTCTTAGAACATAAATTTGAAGGCATAATTTATGAGGCCGTGTTTATTTGTCAGAACCAAACATAGACTCGAGATTGAATTAATAATTTAATAAAATATATAATTTGATGTTTGATTAAAAAATAATGTTTTTCACTCAGACATAATACTCTTTAGTGGAAGACTATTGACACTACAAGAAAAAGCATTTTTGCCGACCACTTTTAGCTACCAAAACTAATTTAGTCGCCAAAAGTCACGGAATTGGCTACCAAAAATAATATTAGTCGGCAAAAGTCAACTTTTTAGCTACTAATTTTTTTTAGTAGGGGAATGTTGATTATTGGCTACTAAAAAAAATTTAGTAGCTAAAGATATTACAATTGGCGACTAAAACAATTTTTAGTAGCTAAACATATGACAATTGGCGACTAAATAAAAATTTAGTAGCCGTAGAGGTACCTTTAGCTACTAAATTATTTGGTAGCCGAATGAAAATAAAAAAATTAATTTTTAATCTTTCCCGACTAAACTTTTGGTCGCCAAATGTCAAGTTTCGGCGACAAAATTTTTTTTAGTCGCGGTATACCTACTTTCGGCTACTAAATTGTTTGCTAGCCGAATGAAAATAAAAAAATTAATTTTTAATCTTTCCCGACCAAACTTTTGGTCGCCAAATGTCAGGTTTCGGCGACAAAATTTTTTTTAGTCGCTGTATACCTACTTTCGGCTACTTTCTTTGAATTTGCTCCTCTTTAATGTGCATGTTAAGTCTGTTCTGATTGTTCTCTTAGGAGAAGGAAAAATGTACAGTTTGATTTAGATTTAGTTATTTATTTATTTGTTCTTTCTCAATACAGGGAAGCGACACTAGAATAAATTATGACAATGTTGTTTTCACAGTTTGCCCTAATTTATATGATAATGTTGTTTCTTTACTTATTAGATCTTTGCAATTTATTTATTTATTTATTTTTGAGTGGTTTCTTCCAATTAGGAAATTTTTTTATCATTTGTTGGAGCCTATAATTGGAAATTTAGTGATATAATTTGACATGATTCGGTGGATACTAAGCTACCAATAGAAACTTGTTACAAAAAAGCTTTGTAAATGGTCTAAGGGTTTTATGTTTTAATTATGGCCAGTCTGTGTAATGCCTGGTGCTTGGTATTGATAATGGTGGATATTCTTCACAGGTGCTTGTCCTTCTTACCAACTGAAGCAAGAATAGCAAGATCATGAGACGAAGTACATAATGGTCCTATATGTTTATTGCCTTTCTGTGTCTCCCAGTACATATCATTCTTCCTATGTTAGTACAAAGAGCCAAAAAGGTGTGAGCATACATTTTTATGAAAATGATTGGGGCCCACAGGTTTTGCTGGCCTAATCAACTTCTATTGTTGAATGGTTGCCTCGTGTCTGACTTTTTCAAAATATTTTTGGAAGTATATCAGTTTAAAGGCATTTGAAAATCTTAATGGCGGAGTTATTTGGTCTGATGCATGTTGAACTCTCAAATGGAGTGATCATTTCTTAGACCATGATTCTTTAAACAAATTTAACATTTAGCATGGAATTGGTTTTTAATAGTGTGACACTAGATTCCACCAACGCAATTTCGGCTTGTCTCCTGAGCATGCCAGTGCCCTAGAACAATACCTGAATGTTTAGAAACATCAATTTTTATCATTCACTTTTTTTTTTCCCATACCATTTTCTTGACTTAATCTTGAATTTGTTTGTAAATATGCTAATCTTTTTCACTCATCAATGTTCCTTTCAGGCCATCCATGGATCTTGCTCTACACTGACCGCACATTAAGGACGCTATCTATAAAGTCAAAATGAAAGAGCCGGTCACCACCACCACCACCTTCCCAGCTACTAGCCACAACTAGACTGGAGGAGCAGAATGACCGTAGGACAGCCTATGATTCTTTTGGTGAGACTACCGATCCAACATCGTTGCCTGGAAGTTTGAGTCGCAAGACTAAAGAGCAAGACGACTCTGGTGCCAGGACGACATCTTGTACTTATGGAAGGACTGAAGAGCAACCTTCCCTCCATATTGTCCTCAATAAAAGTAAGAGAACAATATTGAAGGGTTTTATGGAAGGACTCGAACAATGGGAGCTTATAGTGATGCCAGGACGAAAAAAAAAAAAAACACGTTAAAGCATTTGGCTACCAAATATTTTGGTAGCCAAATACGTAATCAAATGTTTTGGTGACTAATAATTTAGTAGCAAAACATAACCTAAAAAGTTTTGGCGACCAAATAATTAGTAGCTAAAATAATTGAGAATGAGAGAAAGAAACTATTGGCCACTAAATTTTTAGTCACGGAATGCACCTTTTGCCGACTAAATAATGTTTCGTAGCCAAATGTGTACTTTCAGCGACTAATTTTTTAGTAGCTAAAGGTGACACCTTCCCCGACCACAACAACTTAGTATCCAAAAGGCCTCATTCGGCGACTAAAGTTTTAGTGGCGGAAACATAACATTTGCCGACTAAACATAATTTAGTAGCGAAATGTAGTCACTTTCGGCGACCAAACAAAGTTTAGTCGCCAATACTATCGCCGACAGGGTATAGGCGACGAGTTTGGCGACAAAATATTTTAGTCGCTAAATGGTTTCGGCGACTAAATATTAGACTTTTGGCGACCAATATTTTGGTAGCCAAAAGTGACATTTCTTGTAGTGTGAATCTCAAGTGGGGTGAGATACAAAAGGAAAGATTAAGGAGAAGTTTTATAAATTACTTAAATTTTGGTTTCAATTGTCTAAATTTAATTTTTTGAAAATTGAGTTTTTATTTTTTGTATTTTTTTTTTGTTTTCATTGAATTTTATTTTAATATTTTAAATAATTTTTTTTTTAGTTTTTAGATACACTT